TGAAATTAATTCAGACATTGATAGGCCTGTCACATCCATCGTGTGAAAGAAATCTGTCATCACAATTACCTGAAAAAACTTAATCGAAAGCTAGGGAAATCAGACCTTTTTTCATAGGATACAAATCAGTTAGCCTAACATTTCTCACCATGAATACATAAGCATAATAGCCTATTATTCTAACGCCATACATACATAGATATATCTGATGATGAAGGAAATGCTGCTTTTCGGATTGATTCAGTTTGAACAACAGATAGAAGGCTGTAATAATTTTTGTTTGGACCTTTGAAAACTATATTTACAGAGCAAGTAAAATAGACATAAGTTTTTCAGTTAGATCAAGACGAAATCTTTCCATCAAGTAAAATAAATTTTACGGACACATTTCGAAGTGTTTAATGTGTCAGTTATATGAATTAAAATTTTGAATCATTCAAATAAATATTTTTATGTGTCTTCAAATAATGCTTAATTCAGAGCTCATGTCATTATAACTATGCCTATCCCTTTATTTCAGTCAAAACCCTGCACAGGGACTGCCTATGCCGACAGTTACTGCAGGTGACTTCAACGCTGGGATAGAGAAGGAGCTCAGATCTGTGATGAATCGACAGTTACAACGACCATATTTTCTCTCTCTCACACTCTACAGACCTTTGGACTCTAGCCGCTTTTCCAGTTTTTTAATTCTATATACAGTCGGTAGGACTCCTTGGACGGGGATCAGCCCCTTCGCAAGACCACTACCTACATGCAGGACAACATAAACACAAAATAAACATAAACAGACATAAATGGTTTGAGTGGGATTCGAACCCACGATCGCAATGTTCGAGCGGACGAAGACAGTTCATGCCTTAGACCGCACAGCCACTGTACTCGGCCAACAACCATATACTTCAGTAAATAATTTCTAAAATAATATTTAGTGGTATTAATGAAAGTTCCTATATTAATGTCTACAAACAATCCACTACTGGTACAGCAGAATATAAAACCAAAGCCAATTTCCTTTTATTTAATCTTGTATTTGGTTTGAAAAATACAATTTTAAAGGCTATAACCTGTAAGCGTTACATAAATTCCTCCTCCCCCGTAGAACAATCACTGCGTACCGTGTAGATACTAACATTTTCAGGAACTTCGGATGGAAATTCTCGAGGGCACGTTTCCAACTAATTTGTTTCATACATATAGTGGTATTTGTCTAAATGTTTAAGCGTACACACAAGACTGCAACACGTACTATATGCTCGTATCTGCTTAAATAAAAATACGCACTGCTTTGTTCCAGTGCTCAAAAATGAGGATACTTTACAGTGATCAATTCTTCTTAATAGTAAAAGTAGATCACGAAGTATAGTCACATACCATGCCTAATGGAGCATCTCTTTAAAAGTAAAAAGTAAAGTTGTCCCTTTACTTAAATAATTAAGCACTAAGCCACGAAGACATATAAGGGAATGGATATATAGCTGCATAGCTTTTGACCTCGGCACTAGTTAGAGGTGAGTGGTCAGATTAACGCCCCGACTAATTAAACCCCCGGTGGAAGATCCCCTTGTAACCACTGGATAGGAGGTTGGATGGTCCCCAGAGCCGGTCTGGACGACGTGGAGAAGAAAAATTCTTGACCCTCCCGGGATTCGAAATAGTTTCTGAAATAGTTCATATTCGTATATTTTCATGCTGGCCTCACTATACAGTGGAACAATTCAAATGAAAATTATGCATAAATGTCGTAAGTACTTCATACAACTTACTGTCTTGAATGATTCATGAGCAAAGCTAGCGTGTCTCTAGTATGAGGATGTAGTGAATAAGAACGCGTTAGTGCATGAGTGAATGAACTACTTGAATTCACATATATAATGAGGCTGGATACTCGCTCATTTACTTCGAATTACATTCAGTTCCTTAAAAAACATCTCGCTCTGATTCCATAACACGAATTCTTTTATACACCAGAAGATGAGACCGGGTACCACATTAAAAAAAATGTCACGTCACACGTGTACAGCAACTTTCAAAGTAGGCCTTCGACACAAAAATAAAACATGCTGTAACAAAAACTTGAACCTGATTCTCAAAAAGAAAAGCCGCTCTCCCTATTCACCAATACACAGCTCAAACTTGATTTATTTGTCATTTCTCTTGACATAGCAGTACGTCCTCATAATGATACGCAAACTCTTGCAATGTAAATAGAATCTGCGATTCTGATAATAAAGGATAATTGTCAAATTACAATTTGGAGTATATATATATATTTGTCCTTCACAACTTTTAGCACATAACTAACCGGAAATTTAATATATGTTATTGTAGATACAGGTAGGGCATGTAGCACGTATGGGGGAGAATAGAAGTGCATATAGGATATTAGTGGGAAAGCCAGAAGGAAAGAAACCACTATGAGGACCTAGATGTGGGTGAAAGATTAATATTGAAATGGTTCTTAGGGAAATAGGATGGGGTGGTATGGACTGGACTGATCTTATCTAGGTTAGGGATCAGTGGAAGGCTCTTGTGGACACGGTAGTGAACCTTCGGGTTCCATAAAATGTGGGAAAATTCTTGAGTAGTTCAGCGACTAGCGACTTCTCTAGAAGAACTCAGCTCAATATAATTATGAAGAAAGCAGTCTTCTGGGATTTGGCACCGTGTATATGTGGTGTTAACCGACGTTTCGGAGGAACGTATCGCCCCCATCTTCAGGGTTGAAGAAAAAGTTTAAGAAATCTGCAAGCGACAACACCGTGAGAAACGGTAAAGCAGACTGCAGACTGCTTTACCGTTTCTCACGGTGTTGTCGCTTGCAGATTTCTTAAACTTTTTCTTCAACCCTGAAGATGGGGGCGATACGTTCCTCCGAAACGTCGGTTAACACCACATATACACGGTGCCAAATCCCAGAAGACTGCTTTCTTCATAGTCACCGCCGTGAAAGCCTCAAATCTTACATCAATATAATTAGTTTATACTTTCGCAAAGAATTGAAACATTACGTAATATGAATTTCTTATTAATATCTCCAACTTCAGTAGGCTACAAGCCGGAATGTCGCGGGTTCGAATCCTGATGTGGTCATCGAATTTTTCAATTCACTTAATCCCTCCAGCCACACTATGGCGTTACCTACAGGGCACTTCCTGGCATTCGTAAGTCTTCACTGTGTGATACTTATTACGAATATGCATAACTTAGCTTCACGTAAATCAAAACGACCTAGCTTATTTTCACCATTCAGTAGCTCTAATTAGGTATCATCATTACTGAGAAGTTCATTATAATTATACTTTCCACCATTAGGTATTGTTCCTCACTTGAAGGAACTGGCATTACGAATAAGACTACGTTTAGTCGAAAAGAACGTGGTTGTTGAGTGGTATTCAGGAAAACCTGATTTCAAATGTGGGCCCGACTACCGGCCCGATTACCGGCAATCGTGAAAAAACTTATGTAACTTTTTTTAAATACGTACCTTCCCTTTGTTCTCGGGAAATTCTGGGATAGTATTTCAGTATAAACCGCAACGACTCAGACCCGGCAATTACAATAATTATACTATAAAGTTGTCTCAGTAGTTAATTAATTTAAGCATCATGCCATGATGATAAATGAAGGAGTGGATGTATGGCTCCACTATTCTTGACCTCGATACTAGATGGGGAAGAGTGGCAGCCTCACGCCCCGGCCCCTTTACCTCCGGGGATAGACTCCCTGGTAACCATTGGATAGGAGGTTGGGTGGATCCCAGAGACGGTCTGGATCCTGTGGAGTAAACAAAACCTCTTTCTCTACCGGGAATCGAACACCGGCCGTCCGGCCTGTAGTCAACTGCTATACTGACTGATTTGTTCGTTACTGTATAATCTGTGTAGGTAAATAAGCTCCAACAAATAAAGAATCAATATGAAGAGGTTAGTGAGAGGGCAAACTCAGTGGCGAACATGAAGTGTTTCTCTTTTCGGTGTTCGTGGTTTGATTCTTACAGATGGTCAATATCTCGCTCCAGCTGCAAGTTGCTCATGTTCTACTATAGTTCCGTAAAGGTGTATAACGTCTGTTTATACATTTCAAACCCTTCATCTTCCTACAATCCATAAGCACTGTTATTATAAGAAATATTAACAAGACCTGTTGCTGTCTTAATGGGAAAATCGTAGTTCTTATTTGAGAAACTGTCAATACTTGTTCATGGTAGGATGTAATTACTACTTGATTGACTTTGATCTTTCGCTTGTCTTATTCTCCGGCCCTGAAGAAAGAGGCGATATTTCTCCGAAACGTCGGCTGACATTCAACAGACTACACGGTGTTATAGCTCAGAAGATATAACTCTTCATAACCACCTCTGTGAGAATCTAAAGTCCTGCATTTTTATGTCTTCTTATTTACTTATATTTTATTCAAACATCCTGTTGGTAACTCAGATTGGGGTTCGTGAATTAGTCCCTAGTGGAAATTATTTTGTTTTAATTTCCTCAAAGTAAATCCATGGAATCAATAGATTATGACCAATGTTCAACAACAAATTCGTCTCATATTCAGAGAAGGAGTAGGTACAGTTATTAGGTCATATGAATTTAATTGAGTTCTCATAAAACCCTTTCTAGAATTCTGTTTTTAATACGAATGTTCCCTTTCTAAATCTTCAGAACTCTGACTTCATAGATTTCATCCTGGACATCGCATACCGTCACATAGAAGAATTCCGTGACCAAAATGTGAGATGTTGTGGTGAAGCGGACAAAACAGAGCAAAGAAGAACACCTGCAAGTCAGTGTTCTGTGTAATTACGCCATGGAAAACATTGCCGGGTACCAAGTTCTGTTCGAAATGCCCTCCAGCGTGCTGTCTTAAAATTGTACACCAAATAGCCATAAATTTTAACAAGCTGAAATGAATACGGATCTGCTAGTCTTGCAGAAGAAATTATTGACATCACTAAAGTATATGAAGGAGCTCTCTTGTGTCTGCAGATAACCACTCACCTGATGTGCAATTTCCGACAGATGCTGCATCCTTGTCACATATTGTTAAGGGCCGTTGCACTTCACTTGAATGCACCAACACTAAATTTAACGTCAACAATAGCCACACCACTAACATTGTCTCTGGACGTAACAATAATGATGCCGATCACTGCCTCGCGATGTCCTCTCTTGTCCTACATAAACAGTCAACTGCTGGCTTTTCTCTCTTCGCCACTTACCTGCCACCTGGTGGAAACTTGCTTATACAGCAGAGGTATTTTACTAAGACCCCCTGCACACAATACGCTCTCTGGGACCATGTGACGTCAGGTACTGATCGTATTCAAGTGAAAGTACCGCGTACGTGTTGATATATAAATTGTATTAAAATCTGGAGTTGTTACGTTAATTTCATATACAAATTTACCGAGAAAATGTAGGGTTGTGATTGTTATTAATATTCTTTCGCTCTGAAGTGCCAGGTCCAGCAGAAATTCTTTTTCTTTTATTTCGTAGACATGAAACCCTCAGCTATTTCTATGGCATGATATCAACCCAACCTGTTAATGTAAGGATTCCGCGTGTTATTAAAAATCTTCTGATAAGATCCTAATTTACAAGCTCTGCTTTGAGACATGTAAGTTGAGTAAATGTTCCACTGTTCCTGAAACTTTTTTTTTTAATTTTAGGATTTTCTATTCACCACATTCACAGGAAGATATAGGGAATAACAGAAAAAGAGAAATAACCAAAGACGTGCGTAGAAATAGAGGAAAAATACAAGGCAGGAGTTACAGTACGTGCATGCACTGAGATTAAAATGTAATTTTCACGCTGTACGGTCTAGATACTAACAGTGGCGTAAAATAACATTAGAAGTAGTAATCGAGTGGGATTAGGAGTAAAACAAAACACACACCATGACCTGTAGTCCGCAAGTGATCTATACCGACCGAGCGACCGCCGCTTCTCGACGAAGTTAGTGCCAAGTTAAACGGATAGAGGGCATCGTGTGGTCAGCTCTACGGATCCCCATGGTCGTTAATTTCGGTTTTGTAGACCGGAGCCGCTATTTCCTTGAAATAGCTCCTCAATTATCATCACAAGGCTGAGTAGACCCCGTTCCAGACCCACTACTTCTCAGAAAATCTGGTAGCGCCTGGAATCGAAAATGGGACCTCTGGATCTGTAGCCAGGAACTCTGACCACCAGACCACAGAGCCGGTCGGGATTACGAGTAAGGGAAATAAAAGCAGGAGTCGAAATGGATGCCAAAAAAAATGAGGAAATGTAGAAGATAAGGACAAACAAGAAGACAAGGAGAAGATGAAGCAGGAGAAAGTAATGATGAGGAATGAAGGGAAGGAGTAAAGAAAAAAAGGAAACTTTGAGGGAAGAAGAATAGAAGAGCGGTGGTACAAGAGAGAAGCTGAAGAAAAAGAAGATTACAAAAGATTACTATTATGATTGTAATGCTGTTGAACATGCTGATGTTGGTGATTACCGTAATCTTTATGATTACAAAGAGGACGATGAATAGGGAAAAAGATTAAATGAAGAGGATAAGAGGAATTGTCACAAAAATAAAGAGCAGTAAAATGTAAAAATTTAACGTTTCTTTTTTACCAGCCAAATCTTCAAGGCACGGGTCATGCCTTTACGTAATACCCAAATTTGTATGTTCTGTTACGCTCACATGTCTTACTACCCTTGGCTTCTAAATGGCCAGATGTTCAACAATAATTCGAAGAAATGGTATCAACAAACAGCAGCCCTCTTGTAAATATCGACGTTTCTCTCTACTCGGATAGATAAAGTTGGCACTAATTTCGCCGATAAGCGGCGGTCGCTCGGTAGGTATATTTCGCTTGCGGACTACAGGCCACGGAGTATTTTTTGTTTTCTTCTCTCTAGTCTTTTCATTGACGTAAGGATAGCGTAGTGTTTTGGAACGCTGGGACAGTATCTAATTCCCTGAAACATTAATCATTTCCTTCTACCCTTGAAAGGCGATCGGCTATTTCCATCTCGTTATCTCAAGCCATAACTTCATGTCTCAAATAATTTGAAATCGTAATTTTACATAAGCACCCTCGAAGATCTAGCAAAACAACTAAACAAGAAACAACATAAATAGATCGGCCATAAATCTCAATCATTCCCCATCCCACCCTTCAGGAAATGAAAAGAAAAAATGAGTCAGTTGACGGTAAAGAAATACGAGCAGTATAATCTCGAGTAAAAGTAGTAATAATAACATTCATAATTATTATTATTATTATTTACTTCAATTTGGTGCTCACCCGGTGGCAATAGGCCTTACACTGGGTATAGGTAAGGTAAAAAAGTAAAGCTGTCCTTGTAACAGACAGTGAAAGTCGATAGTGTTTTAAGACGTCGAGGCTCCCACATTTTGTCCAGAAAATCGGCTCACAGATGGCTGTAAGTTTGTCAGCCTTAGGCGCCGGCCGCCCTTTACCCCCAGGAAGATTCCTGGTACTCATTTCTGTTAGAGGCTGAGATGAACCCAGGGCCATAGTGCGGCCTGAACGATTTGGTCAATTGAAAACATCCACCTCATTGGGAGCCGATCCCGCGACCTTCCGGCTTGTAGAGTAATGCCTTAACCAACTACTCTACTGCGTGCCTCAACCAACTACGCTACCGCGTGCCCCTCTTGCATTGGGTAGCAGACCTTACAGTGACATGGACCATAAGCAATGCAGGAACTTTCTAGGAAGAAAGGAGGAACATTGTACGAAAGAGTTCTATAAATACGAATACATTTGTAAGTTGACCCTCTGTTTAATTAGGCACTACACCATGAAGACCTATGGGGGAGTGGTAGGTGTAGCTCCAGGTATTCTTAATATCGGGGCTAGGCATAGGGAAATACAGCCGCTTTAAACTGAGGAAAATTGTCCCTGGTACTCAATGGATACAAAGCTTCTTGGGTCTCAGAGTCAGTATGAACACAGTTGGGAAGAGAAGAATATTTGCCCTCGACGGGAATGGAACCCAGATTCCTCCCTTACCCAGCCCACAGCCTTAATGATTGTACAGACTAATTCATACTGACTCTTACATAAGAACACTTTATACGTAATAAAAATATCAAAATTATTAATTTATTAGTGATATTTTATGGCAGTCAACTTGTCTTAACATATTCAATGCGGTAATCATTTCAAATTATTGAAAAACTTAGCTATTCTTTTGAGAATTCCAAAAAATGAGCCTTCCCTCCTCTACATAAATGTTATGACTAAACTAACTAATTCGGTAGCGAAGTTGGTTGAGGTACTACAAGCCGGAAGATCGCGGATTGAAGTCCCGATGAGGTCATTGGATTTTTTTCAAATGACCTAATACTTCCAGCCGCACTATGGCCCTGGGATCGACTCAGCCTCTAACAGAAATGGGTACCAGGGACTAATTAAATAATTTTCCTGGAGAGTAAAGCGCGGCCGTCGCGTAAAGCTGACAAGCTTACGGCCAACTTTGAGCCGATTGTCTAGATAATGTAGGACCCTCAACGTCTCACAACCCTATGGGCCTTCGCGGCCTGTTACAGGGATAGCTCTACTTTTTTTACTTTTACTAACTAACTAACTAACTAACTAACTCCATGGAACTGAGCCCTTCTTGAGGAGCTGTAGTTGCTCAGCTACTCAATAATTTTTAAATATTTTATGAACCCCGAAGATCCTTTACCATGTTCACACGAGCCTTTCACTGATCCCTATCCTCAGCCAGATCAATGCAATCCATACCACCCCATCCTATTTCTCTAAGATGCATTTTTACGCACGCACACAACAATATAAGCAGTTATATTTTGAAGACACCACAGTCCGCGCCATCCCCTCACAAAATTTCTATCCTCGTCCGATGAAATCTAATAGGTCTGTAATAATGAACTGAGATATTAAGAAACTTGACCATATTATTAAACGGTTAATCTAAATAAATATTTAACTTTACCAATATTCATGCTTACAAATAGGCTTCGTTGCTTGAAAAAGGGCGCCATAAGTGAGAAATATTTACTCTTACTTTCAAAATTTCGGTTGTACATGTTTCACGACATAATTTCTTTGCATTAAGAGTCTGTCAAACGTAATTCCTTACTGGGTCAGAAATAAATACAATTTTCTTCAATGATTTAGGGTTCCGTCGGAAAGGCAGCTTCTCAAGCATGACTAATTCTTTGTGTACTCTTCCACTGCCATAGCAGTACTAAAATCCCAAGCTCTTTCAGCCCTTATTATACCCTTTCCCCTTCTGGTCAATTATATTAGGCAAGGAAATTTCCAAGCAAGACTACACCTGCTGGTCAGAGCCATACCTCCTTAACTCCATCCAGTGCAGAACATTCCAAAGAACATTTTCTACCTGACACAGACCTATAATATTAAATACTATCCCGGCTAATCACTAATTTTTTCTTGACTGTAATATAGTGCATGTTTGAAACCAAGACGAGACGTGAAGGAATTTCCGATTCATGTAAGCCGATAAAGCTGTCTCTGTGCTGAAATAAGCACGGCATTATGATAGCTTATGGGGTGGAGGCATACCACCATGTCTTCTTAAACTACGCACTAGATGGATGTGAATGATTAGCTTCAAGCCCCGGCTGCTTTACCAACTGGGAAAGAGTCCCTTGTAACCTTTGCATAGGCCCCAGAACTGTCCTGCAAGTTATGGAGAAAAGTCTCTCTGTCTTGCCGGGAATTGAATAAAATTCCTCGAACCTCCAGCCAACAACTTAGAACTTTACAAACAAGGTGTGTCAGACTGCCATTTAGGCTTTCAAGTTAATAAAATCATACATAATTCTAAGTATAATTAATATAATAGACCGTCCCTGTGGTCTAGTGGTCAGAGTTCCTGGCTACAGATCCAGAACTCCGGGTTCGATTCCCGGCGCTACCAGATTTTCTGAGAAGTAGTGTATCTGGAACGGGGTCCACTCAGACTCGCGAGGATAACTGAAGAGCTATTTCAAGGGAATAGCGGCTCCGGTCTACAAAACCAAAATTAAAGGCCGTGGGAATTCATTGTATTGACCACGCGACACCCTCTATTGCTAAAGTTGGCACTAACTTCGCCGACAAGCGGCGGTCGCTCGGTCGGTATGGTTCGCTTGCGGACTAAAGCCACGGAGTTTGTTTCTTTTTAGTTTATTGTCTTGGGATCTCTATTCCATAATATTCGTGATAT